CTAGAAATTGGTAGTGTTTTCCTCCCACAAATAGAAAAAATTACACTAGAACTTTTAAAACAATACCAAAATTTTGACCCAGTAGTTAGACAACTCAAATCATGGCACAAATATAAATCAAAACCAGCAAAAGCTGATAACACAATTTTAGGAAACAAAATAATCCTCCGATATTTAAATACACAACAATCATTGAAAATACAGATCTTTTAGAATACCAATTAGATGATTCCAAAGTTCCCTGTCTCCCCTTGAATACGATACTGATAGCATTTAACATCTCCCATACACAAAATACAATAAGACACTCATGATCAGAAAAGACATACTCGAACTTCACACAAAATTTTTATTTTCCAGATGCCCCAATTTGGATGAAAGTATTATGCAATGATTGTATAAAATGTCAATTGAACAAACCTTATCCAAATCAAAAACAAATAGCACGTAAACAAGATTTTAAAGGACAAAGTTTATATTTTAACCATAGAATTTCATTCGACCTAAAAGGACCAATTTCAACATCCTCTGAAGGAAATTCTTACCTTATGGTCATTGTTGATGCATTCACGCACTTTGTAGCACTCAACCCAGTACCACATTGTAATGCTTATTATGCTTACACAACACTTTACGAACACTGGATAGCTAAATTCAGATTACCCGAAATCCTCAGTTACAGACAACGGTACAGAATTTATTAATAATGAAATAATCACACTATGCTATTCATACAACATTGAACATAAACCACGTAAATCTCATGCATCTTGGACAAACGGGTTAGTCGAAGGTATGAACCGTTCATTACAAGAATATCTTAGATGTATCATTAATGGAAATGATACACGATACACAGAATGCTCAGCAGATGTAAAATTATTTCCCCTATCATACAATTCACAAATAACGACAACTTTAGGAATGTCACCATATGAATTGGTTTTTAATCAAAAACCAATTATGTTCACAGCAAATGCTCACAAAAACGCACAAGGTCACTGCAAACCAAATAAAGATTCAATATGCTATAATCTACCATTACACACACATGATGAAGACCATTTTCATCACCCACAAATTCTCAAATTAGCCTCCGGCACACATACCGAATGGATTTTAAATAGAGATAAAAAGCACAAGGAAATCTATCAAAAAGTAACAAAGAAATTGTTACAAAGGCAAAACATTAACAGCCAAATTAACCTACGTTTTATGCCAGCCACAGATTTAAAAACTGGAACATTTGTTTTAATACCTAATTTTCATACACAAAAAGGAATCTCCAAAAAACTACAACCACTTCGAAAAGGACAATACCAAATAATTGCCAAACCCACTGAAGTAACATAAAAACTCACAGATTCAACTAAAAAGAAATTGTTCAACATAGTAACAATTTATTACCTTACTACCCAAAAGAATACGCATTACGCGAATTAACTAAATTATATTCTTTCACAGGTTTAAAAGTTATTCAGAACAAAACATATACAGAACAAGAAGCAAATGTACATGACGGCACTCATCATAAACAAAATCAAAAACAAAACACAACTCATAAAAATATAAAAACACCAGACCCAAAAATATCTCAAAAAGAAAGAAAAAACAGGAAGATAGACAAAATCTTACCACAAGATCAAATAGAAAAATCAGAACACAGAAAATTATCACGACTTAGAAATCAACCACGTAAAAACTACAAAACATTCATCCCACAATCTAAAATATTAAAGAAAGTTGAATTCCAAAAACAACTTTAATTTTAAAGTCAATCATTCGTACACCTCTAAATCATTTTGAACTTTCCCATTTTCAAGATAACATGCTGAACATACGCAACAATTCTAGTTCAAATTCAGCCAATAGGATTCACTCAAATCCGTCACCTTCAATATCTCTAACACAAACCTACTAGCCGATAGATATTAATCTCCAGGCATATCTATAACTATACCTTTACAACCTCCAGGTCAAAATATGCAACTTGCTGAAATTTGACTACTAAAATAAACACCACGATAATATTACAACCCTCCCCTATCAAATAATACAAAGATCAACAATATTTTCCCAACTTGGACCTCAAAAACCCTCCAACCAAAAATGGCAAATTAGCCTAAAGTAAAAAAGGACCATAATCTTTTGGCCTAAAGAACAAATATTTCAAAAATACCCCAGATTACCCAACAAATAAAAACAAAGCAAAGAAGACCTCCCGAGCATCACAAAATAAGCCTCCAACAATTTTTAACAAAACTCAACCCATTTGTCAAAAAATCAATAAATAATCCGACCACACTTGAATTTCGCCCCAGAAATTCAAAAAATATTCGACGAACGAATCATTTCTTAAATGTTTCTCTCTTTAACAGTCGATACTTTAAAAAATATAATCATAAACCTTTTCATAAAATTTTTCATTCTATTTAAACTTTTGCTAATATTTTTCATTGAAACTTTTGAAGCCCTAATAATCCTTTTAATAATTTTTTGCAATATTTTTTTTAAATTTTCTACTCCCTACTTGAAATATATCTTCAACTTTACCAAATCACTGACCGCGCTCACAGGTACGATAAGTCAAAGTCTGTTTAACTGATACGAACAATTTTTAGTAGAGCAGATGTTTTTTTTACTATTCGTAATTTTCATCACATTTTTATCATCCCTTATTATGACAATGTGCAAATGTGTAAAAAAGGCAATAGTCAAATTCGCCTTAGCAACAATCTTTTTAATTCTTTTCATCGAAGAATATTACAATAAACATAAATCTTCCCACTAAGAAACAGATTAATCGTTCACATTTCCGAAAATGCTAACCAACCACCACTAAAACAGTCTTCACCGACATCTTCCCAAGAAAACCCAGTCGTACCTACAACTACCCAAAACCCCCAAACATCTACACAAATTTCTTTACAAGATAACCCTTACACTTTTGAGGAACGACACGCTCGTTTATCTGAACCACTAGAACCGGTTCAGCGACAAGCATCCCTAAGTGAACCAACATATAATTTGTACCCCACATTACCACAAGATTTAAATAGAATAAGACATATTAGTCAAAATCAAAATACAGTTGAAGTAAATAGACAAATTATACATCCGCGAAGAAATAGAAATTTTAAAACCCAATCATTTTGATATACCCCAATCACCAACACCAACTACTTCAGAAATTTCAAGCAGTACACTACCAGAAACTCACACTTCTTTCACAACATAGCACCTCAAATATACCCTAAGACTATCTAGGTTCAACTCCCACATCACAACAAATCCGAGAAAACCCTTTAAATTCCCCAGATACCACAGAAAGACCACCATATTGGACAACACACTCATATACACAAGGTGAACCGAACATAGTAAATGAACCAATATATATTTTTTCTGATACAACGCTATCATCATTACCAGAAACACTATCACTCCCGTCAACACTATCATTGAGTCAAATCTATCCGACACTTTTTCCTTTAAATTTCCCAAACAACCTCGACGCTAGATATCGAGAACAATCATCGTCAAATATCCCTTTACGATTAGATTGGAACACTTTCGTAGCACCTCCCCCACTATTTGGACAACATCAAGAAAGTAACCGACTTCATAGCTGGGCACTTAATAGATTACAAAATAGACAAGATATCCACGACGATATCCGAGAACATAAAATTTAAATACTTCAACAAAACAGTCTCCAATTGAAATTTGAAATCACAATCAGACTTAAAAATATTGTTCAACACCCTTTTCCCTTAAGTCCGCCAAACATAACAGCTCAATCACTACCCCTTTCCATTTATAACAACTGAAGTAATAAATAAATATGATAGATATACAAAAAACACAATTGGATACATAACATTTTATAACCCATACTCCGGATTATCATACACATGTATATTCTGAAAAAATTAAAATTTCAACACATCCTTTTTCTAATATTTTCCGACCAAAACACAAATCCATCTCCTCGCACAGGTCCTCAGGATTTATTAGTAACACACTATGATTGCGAAGAAAACGAACAGAAAACACTACACAAGTATGCAATAAATCAAGTAACACAATGCGAAGAAACAGAACCACAAGCTGTAGAAACTAAAAAGTTAATAGCAACATTGTATTCAAAAGCCCGAGCAACAAAAGTCACAGGATATGAGTTTACAGCAACATTTTCCGAAAAGAAAGTACATTGTTCACAAGGTTCCAACGGAAACAAAAACCGACTTGATCACGAATCATTTTATCAGAGTAACGTAGAAAGACTTTTACATCTAAACCCCGACCATTGTAAAAATTAATTACTAAGACTAAATCTAACAAGAAATAATAACACAGACAGAAAAATAGTAAATTTTCAAGTCTTTGCCGGTTCTGTACATCAAGTAGAATTTGAACGATACCAAGGACATGTTCAATTAGTCGAAAAATACCCATATAATGGCGCACACGGACGATTAATCTATGATATACACGATAAACACTGGATACCACAAACTGGAATAAATAATCCCTCAAACTGCAAAGCAGACACAAAAAATAAACGATATCAAGAAATAATGTTTTTTGATGGGAAAATACAACTTGAAAAAATACAACTCACACGAGATTTAACTGATAACACCATAATCTATCAAGGAATTAGATTGCCTTACAAAAATTATCAAGGCTATTGTGACCCTACAACAAGAACCCAAGCAACAATTGTTTGGTTTCCCGAAGATACATGCACAACATTTCAAGTAGCAAAAATACACGCTCGAATGATAAAATTTCAGGAAAATTATTTTATTGAATCAATTCCATACGAGCAAGTGAACCCGTCTCGCAAACAAAGCACTGATTTCAAAAACATTCATAAAAATAAATTGACACGTTTTCAAATCTATCACGAAACAGAATTTGCATGTAAATAACGAAATCCACTTTATAAAACACAATACTCTGAAATACTTGTCGAATACGAAAAAGGGTTCGACATGACCACTGGAAAAATAAAATTTGACCCTTACGCAACAAGTCATCCTACTAACGAAGGCACATCATACGTCCCATTGAACCTCTATAAAAGCACAGGTAACCCTGGTGGAAAGCTAACACCATACGATAGTAAAAGCACACGTTTACAAGAATTATCACTAATGAATAGCACCTACTTTGGTAATATACATTATGATATTCACTTAGATATGAAATTAGACTACACAATTTGTAGAATTTTCCAAGAAATGTCACCTTCTCAATTAGAAACACTTCATTAACTATGCGAATTAGAAAGAACACAAATCTTACAATCACTCGCATTAGCAGTATTAAAAATACCCTACGCAGGATATTTATTATCAGGAAATAGATCAAAATTTCTTGATTACGAAGGAAACACTTTATGGTTGTGATACTTGCACCAAAAAAACATCACCATTATATGTTTTTGACGATAAACGTTTTTATAAAAGAATCCCCATATTCTACAAAAATAAAGTATACTTTGTCGATACACTTTCAAAACGAACATATTTTTGGGATGTAGCAATCCCATGTGGATAAAAAAAAAGCCACAATGTCGTACAATTAAACCCTGACGAAGATAAATGCTACCTACTTACTCCGTATCCTACATTAATGCAACCACTAAAAAAGTTTTCACCAGAAAGTATCCGAGCTATCGCTCGTAACCCAAATATCGATTTACAATCAATTGGAATATATTCTAAATCCGATATACAGCATCTTATTAGAACACAGCAATTTCAAGAATTACTAACACAAATGGACACAATACAACGACAATCAATCGACAAAAATTTAAGAAAACTTGCCGAAACCGCAGGATTTGCAGACATTTATACACAAGACTACAGCGGATATTTTAAGGATATTAAAGATCACATATATTTAAACGGTGAAAACTACCTACCACAAGATATTTCACCTGAAAATATTTTCAGTTTTTTAACCTTAAAACACGAAAGTTTCGCCTTTCTAGGGTGGCCCTATTACATCTTAGAAAGATTAACTATATTATACGCTATGTTTAACTTTATAGGATTTTTTTTTTCACTCTTAAAAGGAATCTATAACACATGCGCTATACACACACAAGTAAATAGACAAGCAAGTGTAGCACGCATACTATTTGCAGGATTTTTTGGAATTTTCTCATCATCAATCAAAAAAATACTTCTAGATGCACAAATAACAGAATACAATACAAAAATATCCACAAAACCAAACACATATGACGAAGAACATAATAATGTAGATACAACTCCTACAGCACCACAGATACCAACCCTACCACAAAACCATCCATTATCATAAGTTCCCCGAAATTTTCGAAACCTAGCAATCACAAATAATCCAAATTTCAGACCAAATACAACACAAAGCCCCATTCAACACATGACACATCATCCACAAAATGATAATACATATGAACAAATTATCAAACAACCTCATACCACCACTTTTCAGTCTCAAAATAATCATTTTTTTAGCCCACGATGAGCCGACAAATTGGATCCCTCCATCGCTCAAATTCCCACCCAGCCAACCTCCAAACTCAAATCCCAATTATCCCACTTTTTGCTTTCCCGCCACCCGCTCGATTCTCCATTTATTAATATACCATCAAGCATGAATTCTGATACTAACTCAGATATTTCAGTTTTTTATACCATCTCACAATTTAACAACTCCGATGTAGAAAATCCCGACGAATTCGCAAACTCTGAACCATCTCCCTCTACCCATACCCAGACCAACTCTTCAGCTTTTTCAAAACCCCCCTTTTGACCCATCCAAACCAGTCATCCACTCCCATCTCTTTCCACTCCTTCTTACGCTTCCCAAGTACGCCCTACATATTCTCCATTTAATTCCGATAGATCGCCAAATAACTCCCTAGATAACATTCAAATTTCCGAAGAACTTGACAACTTTATTACATTACAACAACAATTAACACACCCCCATACTCATACGATACATACACTATCATCAACAGTAACATCATTAAACCCACAAACACCAACACCACTTTCATCATTAGCTCAATCATCCACATCCACCGAAACACCTACCAGCACTAACCGAGCTTACCGCACTTTTAAACGAAAATTTCCAAATCACCCATTCACAACCAAACCCGGAACAGCCAGAGAATATATCAACCACCCAGATCATTCAAACACAAAAAATTACCTTCAAATAACCCTACCCTCATTTCCACAATATACCTTAAATACTTCTACCACAACTAATGAAGCACGAAATTTTGTTGATGAGCACGTTTTAATGCCAGCACTTCATTGGACAGCTTAATACAACTATACCAACCCCCTTTATCTACCACTCACTAAAACTAATGAAAATATCGAGAGAAACAAAAATATACGCACTAAACAAACGCGCACATATACATACTATTGTTTTATACAAAACCATTTTGATTTACACACACCATCACGACAACCCCACCATCGTTTTCAGTTTATTAACTCGAAATACACGTCACCATTCTTTCTTAATTTTACATATTGCATTAAAAATACTAACCTCCACGGTATCCTCCGCAACTACGAACCAGTTACCCAAATATATATATTCTGTCCCTTCACGAAGACTTTCAACGATGAAGAATCAAGACTCTTCATTATCCCGCATGAATTCATACAACCTATCGAAATAACCATACTAGAATTTATTCTTAATACTAAATATAATCATAAATTTTACGACCTAATTCAAAACACACCTCATGAATTCGCAGTAGGCACAGAAGAACTACACACGATCAACGCACTTCATTTGCTTTAGCCACTGCTACAAACTAAAAATGTTATACGCATACTAGCCAAGTTATTAACAACATCAGACTTGATTCACGACATCTTCCCACATGGCTTTTTCCCAGATAAATTTAAGGTAAATATGAATTAAAATAATTTTAACTAATAAATTCAAAATTATACTAACCATTTTCTATCAATATTTAATTTATTCTTTTAGTCTTCACACCATAATCATCTACAAAACAGAAAAAAGACAAATAAAAATACAAACTTGTTAATTCATAATAAAACTCCTAAATCTTTCGCACTAAATAACGTAATAAAATTCATACCCAATGTAGTAATTTCATTTATAAATTATTTCCCCAAGAAGCAGTAAAATTAAACACGATGAAAATTTATAATTTTAAACTTCCCCAAAAGCAGTAAAATTCAATTTTAAGCAATGAATTCTTAAAATGAGAAAGCAGTACTAGCCTTTTCAATATTTTCATTCATTCGCACAAGAATTCTATCCAAACTCGCACAGCTCGCCCACAAAGAATTGCTTAAATAATGATTTTATGTTTCACGTTTTCACTAACTACAACTCAAACAAGCAATAACAAGTTTCAAACTTTTCTTTAACCCGGTTGGAAAGGAACTATATACTAAACCAAACTAACCAACGCAGCTTACTAAACACCACAAATCATATAATAACAGCATGACCAAGAAAAGAAAACAACGGTACCCAAACCGGATTAACCCAGCTTAAAACTGGATAACTTATTCTTTTAAAGACTACTGTAAAGTCTAAGAAAGAAATATTAAAACACAAAAAAGTCGTAAGACAAACCCAAACCAAAAACAATTTGATTTTTGAAAAAAAGGACACAACCAAAGTAATATAAGAAAGACCAGAAAAAACCAACATAAAATGTTATCACATAACAGGACCTTCCAAAGAAACAGCATCAAATCATACTCCCACTCCTGGCCTAACCCACCAGAGAAGGACGTCCTGAGCATGCTTATAGCCGGCCTAACCCACCGCGCTACACCACGCTTTGTGACCACACTTCAATTTTTAATAAGAGGTACTCAAGGGTGAGTAACTCTTCAAAATAACTAAACTAAAATAAAACGCTTTTGTGAAAACAACTAACTAAGATCATGACTAAAAACCAAATTAACAAAAATTTATAAAATGTAAATCATAATATGCAGTATATAGATCATACACAACAAAAAAGACGAACATCCAAAGACTAGACAATCCCATCACACTCGAACAAAAGAATGGCTAAACATAACCGACATGCCGTCCACAATCACGACTCAAAGGATTTAGAGCACGACTTGACTTCGCAGAAAAGGACTTCATTGAACTAGACCAATGACCACCTCGATGTTCAAGTATACGTACAGATCCGAGATTACAAGGCATCCCTTCCAAACACGATCTTCACGCCATTCCCAGACGAGGCTGCACACAAAACAGTTCTCTACTAATACAGAAAAATCTGACATAGCAAACCATTTTGAAATCAGATTGATTTCATTGGGGATCACAGTCGTTGTCGAATGACAAGATAAAAACTTCATATCCATCATTCCAGCGTCCTGGAACGTTCTTCTTTAAGAGGAACCGGTTAAGAAAATGATGTTCGCCAAATACCAACGTTCATCATCCATCCTTCAATTACAGAAAGAAAGGTAAATCTAAAAAACTCTGTAAACCCCGGATGGGGCAACCTGATCTAAACTACATTTTATTATTGGATAAATTAGATATTTTATCACTATAAAATATTTAGTTTTAACCAATCATATTCCATCTAACTAACAACCCACTTATTTGTAAGTGCTGAATTTACTTGTAATTTCAGCACCAGAGAGATTTGAATTTAACGTAGAAATTAGTTACCTCTCCAAGAGAACTTCAGCAGTCACAATAAGCCAGTATACTCTAGATCTAATGAGCTTAGCAGAAACTAGTTAAACACCCTGAGACTAGTAGATATAAGTGTAAGTTTAGGATCGGTATTAGACTAAGAAGTTGCACGAATCTATCCGGCCGAAATTAAGATAGCGTGACGAGCAGACGGTGTACACTATCCGAAATTACTCTATGAGTTATACAACTTAACACTTAACTCACAGCATTCGGTCCCTCCAGCATGAGAACCCTCCCCTATCTTTTGTAATGAATGTGATTGCAATGTGTTTTCAATAATCAAAGATATTCCTTATCTAATATATACATAAATGAAGTTGTAATTTCTGCCTGTTTACAGTCAGACAAACTGAATGAATACAAAATATAATTGCTCTTCAACTAATCTTTTTTCAGTATCTGATAGGGTCTTTTGATACCGAGAAAATAGGGTGTAGACTAAGACCGCAGGGCTGGGCTCGGAAATTGATTGCTAGCCGGCCGAAATTTAGATAGCAATACGAACAGACGATTTACTCAATCTGAAAGTCTTTTAGAGTTAATCATCAATCGATAACGATTGACTAGGTTAGACGAGGCAATCTTTCTAGAGCTTTGAATCGATGTGAAAGCAGTGCCATTGATTGCAGGTTTTTATTCCGTCTAATTGTTACGAAAGTAACGGAATATTTGTGCTCGGGTGGGTTTTTTTTTTCTTCAGACAAATTTCGACTTTTTAACTAGCCATTTTTGACGGAATTTTTTTTATATCATTCAAAAGGTAATGTTGTCCTGAGCTTAAATTTGAAAAGATATTTCACCTGTGATCAATTGTCGTAAAGTTATGGGGGTTTAAAGATTGGCATTTTGGCCAATTTCGGACAATTAACGCGCGATATAACTCGCGCTATTAACTCGTAAGCGGAGGTTTAATCCGTCCTAGAAATCGTTCCAAATTGGTTGAACTAATCTTATTTGCCATGATTGAGTTTTACAAGGAACGAAATCTATCCTTTTGTACTTTATATGGCGTGTGGGGGGATGATTTTCAGAAAAAATCTCAAATTTAAATTTTTTTTTTTCATTTTTTTTACATTTAATTTTTTCATCATATTTCTGCTTCATAGACCTTAAAAGGCAGTCGGAACATTCAGGGCTTCACCCTGATACGAGCAGTCTTGTTTCCCTTAATTTTAGTTTTGCATCGATGTCTCAATTCATTTTTGATCACTTCTAATATGTTTGTCGTCTAACTTTTCGGATCCCACAAATTATTTTGCATCCCGAACAAATTGAAAGAAAAACAATTAAACTCTATCAAAATGAAGGGTTTTCGATGATTTGCCACCGATGAAAAACTCAATATTTTGTAGAAAAGGTGCACATATTACTATGTGACTTCAGCTGTTTCCAAATTTTAAGACAACCTTTGATTTTCAATAAAATTATCGCACTTTTAAACGAAAAAATCGCACGCGTTGGATTCAAATCAATCAGCTCAAAATTAATATTTTGAATATTTTGTTTCAGTACTGACCGCAAAACATTGCATAGAGAAAAGCTGTAAAGGGAAAATATCATATGGCAGTGTGAACAAAAAAGATCGTAAGTTTAATCCTTATAAAACCCGCCGAAAATGTTCAAAAAAAACTTAAAATATTGAAGAAACCATCAAAAAAATGCTGTTTTCCTCAAGCAAAAAATTACTGTCTAACGTGCAAATTCAAACAACTGTCTAACGTGCAAATTCAAACAGTTTTGTTTGTGGATAGTTTATATTTAAGTTGAATGATCATTTGTATTTGATTTAAGATGCGACGCTATTCTTATAATTGTGATTAGCTACTTTCATATTTTTCAGCTAAATACGAAATTTTATTTGACTGTGGGTCTAGTGATGTAATAAAACACTCGTCATCCGATTTGGCAATCATCCGAACGAAACGCACCCTAGACGGTTCAACTGCCCTCGCCATTCCAGGTATGCCATTTTATTTTCACTTACCCCTATTTTTCTCAGATTCTTTTTTTCGGTTTCCAAAAAAAAAACTGGTATCAAAGGAAAGACCGCTGACTCCGCTGTGTGCCTGCTTATAAGACGGTCCTTTTTTCTAGTTTAACCCTAATTTCTACAGCTATAGAACAAGTCCGAGGGGTGAATATCATTCTCTCGAAAACTACCCTCCCAAATCTGAGAATTTTGATTCAAAGATAAAAACAGGTTGTGGGAAGGTACCGTGCATTGACGGGTAGGCCCAATTTTGATTTTCTCGAAAATTATCCAGCCGAATCTAGAATCAGGGTTTAAGCGAGGCAACACATTGTTGGAAGACTCCGTGCATAAATGGCTACGTCTATTAATTTGTAGGAAAAACGTTATATTTTTGGAAAAATTTCCAAAATCTTGTTTGAAAGATCTTGTATTATGAAATGAAGGGTTTCGGTTTTTTCTTATTTTTTTAAATAATATTTCGAGTTGCTCTGAATTTTCCCCCTTTTTATCAAAAAAAATAGCTTCATTTTCTCAGCATCTACAGCCAGCACACCCTCCACTCTATATCTCACTTTCTACAGCATTGGAAAAAGTCTGTGGGGAATACATGACCCAAACATTTTTTTTCCTTTCTCAAAAACTATTTGCCCCAATCTGAAGTTTGGGTTCAACGTATCAAAAAAAACACCGAGAAATTCCCCTACATTAATGGTTACGCCTTATTTTTTATACACAAGTTTATGGCCCTCGAAAAAGTCCAAGTTTTGATTTTTTGATCGTTTTTCCAAATTTTTTGACTTCACTTGAAAAAAGAAAATTGTTGTGGATGTGGAAAGCTCGCCTGCGGCTATACTCAATTTTTTTTACGTAACAAGTTATTGTCCTCGGAAAGGGCACGTTTTTGATTTTCGAACTTTTTGACTTATCTCGAAATAAAGCGGGTTGAAATGAGCTCTCATGTATAAACGGATATGTCCAGATTTTCTCAACGTTTGATTTATTGTCGGTTTTTTTAATCATGTTTAGTTTGGCAAAACTAACCGACTGAATGTGATATCAACGGTTTAATCGAGGTAACAGGTTGTGGGAAACGTCCGTTTATAAACGGCTCCCCCTTATACTTTCTAAAAACTGTTGTCCTTGAGAAATTTCCAAATTCACATAAAGGTTCTTTCTTTCTTTCTTGTTGTATTAGAGAAACAATCAAGTTTTGGGTGAAGCCCAATTTTTGAGTAAATGAAATTGCATCCCGCATCAGTTTAATAAAGATCAAAAATATCAAAGCAGGTCCAATTTTAGCTGGGCCCCTTAGTATTTACGGCGAGAAAGTAGAACATGAGACTTTTTCAGTTAATGAAAGTGAGTCACCTCAGCCGTTGCAAGATGTTTACCCGGTTGGGTGGGGACGGGCGTGTGAGGACCCTGGAGTAACTGCAATTACCAAACACGCAAACCTAATACCATGCAGACAGTTAGGTATGGACTATGGCTTATAATGTGCTTCCTGCAGTCGATACTACGACCCATTGTCTTCTTCGAAGATATCAGTTAACTTATACTTTCTCAACGTCGATTTAAGAGTTTTTTTGTTTCAGAGTGAAAGTGGCGCCCGATGATGTGTGTGCTTCCAAATCCTATGGACCCACTATGTTCTGTGCAGGGGGCATGACAGGGGGAATGCCCAAAGATGCTTGCTCAGGAGACTCGGGGGGACCTGTAGAATGTATGGACCGACTAGGTATTTTATGGAATTACATTATATGGACCAGCAATCTATGAGCAAAAGTTATCAGGTGTCAATAAACGAAGCAAAGTGCAGTGCATTTTCCCCTTTTTTTCAGGAAATAGTCGGTTGTTCTCGTTAAAATTATATGAATAAAAAACAGACGCTGAACAATAGGGTCCAAAGTATATCTTCGGTAATTGGAACATTAATAATTAATCATACTTCGATCTGATTTGTAAACAAAAATAACTACGACGAACCGAAATTTGAATCGTAAATTTTTAAACTGATGCTCAGGAAACATTTCAATTTCTTTATGCAAATTTTTCGTAAAACTCAACTCTGCTTCAGTAGAGGATTTAAGGAAAGGGGGCGGGGGGGTGGGGGGGGG